GGTCCCGTCACTCCCCCGGCCGCTGGCAAGTCCTTCCCTGGCTCCCGGCACGGCTCTGAGTGCTCCTCGCATCGATGCCCGCAACAGAAAACCAACAGCGGATGAAGAACACGAGTAGGGTGAAAGAGCGGAAGTTTGGGTACCCTGGGGGATACCTGGCAAAGGAGGAGAAAGAGCAGGAGGAGGAGGAGGAGGAGGGTTTCGGTGCAGTTTTGCTCTTGCATTGACGAGCCCCATCAAACGCAAACGACCTGCATCATCTAGGGACCGTACTCAACGCAGTCCTCCTGCTCACGCAGGGCCGGTTGTCATCTGGCTTCAGCCACGTCCCACCAGCACCAGCAAAGACTTTCTCACTAGTTGCGGTATTCGTATAAAAAGTTAAAAGCCTCGGGGCATACGACCGCCGGCTGTCAGTCTGTCCGGCCGTCCCGTCCCTCCCGGGGCTCCAGGCATCCCTTCCGCGCTGCAAAGCCAGACTGGGCATCGCCTTCCCCGGGGCAGCGGGCACCGCGGGCGGCAGCAGCCTTCCCCTCCGGCTGGCCATCCTCTTCTTCACCGCCTCTCCCCGGAGGTCACAGCTGGGTCTCGTCGCGCTGGGACCCCCCCCTCCTCGGTTCCCCGACGGCAGGAGGGAGCTGGGCGACCCTCGAGGCCGGGACACGCGGGGATGCCCCAGGGCGCTGCGCTGGGAGCTGCTGCTCGCGGCGGCGTGGCAGATGTTAAAAAAATTCGGAGTTATTATTTCTCCTGGTGCTGCACGGCAGCAAAAGGCAAGGGAGAAGCTTCACACTGCCGGTCGGAGCAGAGCTGGGGCAACGTGGGCACTGCTCGGGAACGGGAACAGCTTGGGAATGAGACAAAAACCACTGGTCTGTGTGAGAAATTACGGAAAGCAATGGGACAGGGACAGCCCGGGGCTCTGGGGCAGGGCTGGGGGCACGGGCAGCGCTCCTGGCTGGGGGGGACCCCAAGGGTGGAGGGGGCTGCACCTACACGATGTCGTTGAGCTCCAGCCGCGTGTCTGGGGGGGGATTTATCAGGACGTAGGACAAGGTGTTCTGGTGGTCGTTCATCTCATCTGCGAGAGGGGGGGAAAGGGCTGGTGAGGGACGCCCTGACAGACCCTCAGATAGCCCCCCCCCCACCGGCCACCCGACCGCCCCCCC